CAATATCGTGCATCCCTAATCTGGAATTAAGTGTTAGATTCACAGGCCAAATAGACCTGAATATAAGATTATTAACCAGCCAAGCATATTTTTACCCGGAAAATAATCGTAATAACTTGCTCTTATATATTTTAAAGGAACATATAAATTCACCAAGGCATTATGTTAAAGGCAAACAACATTAGAGTAAAAGATAATGTAGTTTTCTGACAAATTATAATCGTGTCCGTTTTATTTTGCATATTTGCTGCACACTGAGAAGCTCATTAGCTTAGCATCATTGCAAAACAAGCGAGTGCTTGGATAGGCCTTGAAGTGAAGATGACTGATCTGTGAAACACAATTTGAAAAGAATACAATTTGTAAAACTCATTCTGAAAAAGGGAAATTTGAAAAAGCAAAAATTATTTGAAAAAAAAAGAAAATAACTGAGAAATAAGGAAAGTTACTAAGATTTTTTTCAAAGATTCATTTGTTGATTGCATTTTTCTCAGATTTTCCTTTACAAAACGTGTTCTTTGCAACTTTAAGGGAACAAATTTCACTCCATACTCTTAGGGGAGCTGAACTTAGAAGTTACAGGTCTAGTGGCTGAAAGTTACACCGCGATGCTTCACCAGTCACTCCTGCCATGGTTTCATCCACGTTGCACATAAAGCCTCTTTGTAACAGCCTGAGGGTACAGTTGCCATGGTTATTTCATGTGGTTTAAGATGATGGGTATTTATACAAATTTACTCATGCAATTGGTTGGGAGGTGCAGCAATTCTTATGTAACAACTGTCAATTTCATGCAAATCTGACTGGAGTTTGCTGAACAATAATCATCTGAATAAGGTTTGCTGCAGCAGGCAGATCTTTCTAACATCCCACCTTGAAGGATTGACTATGGAGACACCTGAGGTAGAGACACACCTGTCCTCAAACCCTGGCCTGGAGGACAGACACACCTGTCCTCCCTCCAGATATAAGGGTCTGTTTTATAAAGGTTAGGGGGAAATGACACTGATCAAATAACTAAGTAATTAAGCAATTATTTTTAATGAAAATGTATCATTAATGCTGATATTAAGTGTTGAACTTAAGCAGTATATTTTCATCAGTATTTTTTTGGACTCTTTCTGGTCTTCGCGGTGATATTTGGCAGAATAAACCGAACTGTCTGCTTCTGTGACATTCATCCCAGTTCTAAGCTAACCCGGTAAAATGGGGCGATGATGGTGAAGCAGAGCCGTAGCTCTGCTACAGAGACACGGTCAGAGTTTAAGCAGCCTTACCTTGGCGTGTGAACTTCAGGCATCCTGCTGTGAGGAGTACAGAACAAATGGAGCACGTCTGCTGAAGCAAACAGGCAGATATGGAGCTGTACTTTCTCCTTTCACCTGCCGATGTTAGCTAACGACAGCACTTCCGGGATTCCTTCAGGATGGCCAGACTCGATGTGTCGATGCCAGATATTACATTGGATTGAAAAAACGGAGAGTGGCTTAAATTTTGTTTAAAAAATTCTAATTTGCTCAATTACCTACGAAAGAGGATTAGGGACACTGAAAAAGCAAAAAAAGTTGACTGATTTTTTTTTTTATTTTATTTCAGTTTAAATGGGGAAAAAGTCAGAACTTTGACTTTAATCTCAGAATTCTGACTTTTTTCTAACATTTCTGATTTTAATCTCAGAATTCTGACTTTTTTGTAACAATTCTGATTTTAATCTCAGAATTCTGACTTTTTTCTAACAATTCTCACCTTTTTCTTACAATTCTGACTTTTGTCTCAAAATTTGGTCTTTAATCTCAGAATTTTGACTTTTTTCTAACAATTCTGACTTTAATCTCAAAATTCTAACTTTAATCTCACAATTCTGACTTTAATCTAAGAATTCTAACTTTTTTCCAACAATTCTGACTTTTTTTCTTAGAATTTGGTCTTTTATCTCAGAATTCTGACTTTTTTCTGACAATTCTCACTTTAATCTCACAATTCTCACCTTTTTCTTACAATTCTGGCTTTTTCTCAAAATTTGGTCTTTAATCTTAGAATTCTGACTTTTTTTTTTTATAACAATTCTGACTTTAATCTCAAAATTCTAACTTTAATCTCAGAATTCTGACTTTAATCTAAGAATTCTCCCTTTTTTTCTTAAAATTCTGACTAATCTCAGAATTTTGGATCTTAATGTAGATGGGCACCATGAAGGAAGAGATGTGGGAGCACTCAGCTTTGCTGACAAAGATTTGAGTTTTTTGGGAGGTCTTGTGGCACATTGGTGGAAAATGATGGAATTAGGCGATTTTTAATGTGCCTGAGGGGTCCCCGTTGATGCTATTTCA